GATCCACCTGCATTCTATTTTGGCGCAGAATTTTGTCAAGCTGTACATCTTTATGAATCTGTATGTACTTTGCAGAATTAGCCTCTCCCAGGCTTTTTGTTAGGTTTTGGAGTTTAACTTATAATCAATACACTATTTTGGTGTATGGTAATAGTACTTAGTTCCATATACCATTTTTAGCATGGTTTCTAATAAAGGTTGTTTACCCCCTTTTATGTGACTATTTACAATATGAGGTATGTTTGAATGAGGCTAGGTACTCCACCCACCTTTTTGTGAGTGGACTGCCTGCCCCATTTTTTGTCTTTTTTTTTCTATTAACTGTGGGGTCAAGCCCTGTGTACCTCTGTAACCTTTCTGTGGGGTAGTGGTGGTGGTTCTCCCACTCCATAACCCCTCTTTCTTTCTTCTAATATCCTTTTTCAACCTTTCTCTTTGATCTTTTGGACCCATTTCATCTTTGGTTATTTCTATTTCTTAAATGAAAGTGTTTATTTATACCCTGTTGCATTTGGCATTATTAATGATTTGATTTTTCAATTTCTGTTGAATTTGGATAGATTAATAGATTTCCACTTTTTAGCTACATTTAATTTGGTTGCCAATAATATTTGTATTATTAAATTTATTTTATGCCCGTTCTATGCTAACCCATATGTAGGAGAGCCCATGTAACGGATAATAAGGATAAATCTTAAGAATACTAACCATAATTTTCTTTTCCTGGCTATTTTTCATGGCAGCATCACTCATGGGTAGCTCCTCCTCAGCCATCACAGGACAGAAATTAAATAAACAAATTAATCAGATTGATAGGTATAAAAAGTCCCCACTCCCTTCACACTACAAATTTGAAATTTAATTTATGGAAGATACCAAGGGCACAACACCTCTGCCAGCATTCAAAACTAGAGGAAGATCCCATGGCAGAGTGCAACTTTTTTGTGGGAGGCCTAATCCTCAGAGCTGCTTTAACCCCTTAAGGACCAAACTTCTGGAATAAAAGGGAATCATGACATGTCACACATGTCATGTGTCCTTAAGGGGTTAAGCAGAAAGTTCCAGTACCTCCTTGCCTTTTTGTGGTTTCCTGTTTCCCAGAAGACTTCCTGTTTCCTGTGTTTCCTGTGTATTCCTGGCTCCTGACTTCTGGCCATGTTCCTGACTCTGCTGCTCTCCGTTCTCCTGATTCCGGCTCGTCTGACTTCCTGCTTTGATGCCTAACCCCTGCTAGCCTCCTGGACATTACTTTTGGTTTATTTCATTTGTTGCTATTTATTTAATAAAGGTGTTTTGCATCTACATTCTATCTCTGTCTGGTTCCTGGTCCAGGCAATCCACCTATACCTAACCTATTTACTCGGTTGGACCAGCCGGACCACTGTTTGGACCAGTGTGCGCATGCACTGCAGATCCTCCTGATTCGTACTGCACATCTGGATCCAGCACTCGGTCAGCCATCTGATTGCAGCCTCACTTCCTGTTCTAGCACTGGCTGTAGCCTCCGAACTTGTTGCGGCTAGAGTAATTACTGGGTCTGTCCCACTCCCTCAGCATTTTGGGGGTAACCCAGCTCAGTGCAGAGCATTATTAAACCAGGTTAGAGGATACCTTGAAATGGTTCCCCAGACATTTCCTACAGACAGAAAAAAAGTTGGGTAAATGATTTCTTTGCTGTCTGAGGAGGCAGAGAGACCCTTTTATTCCAGAAGTTTGGTCCTTAAGGGGTTAAATAGGCTGCACTGATTAACAACAAGGCTGGCTACTAACAACCAGGGGAGTAACCGTGGAAATGGTAATGAAGGAGCTGATCGTTAAGAAGCAGCTGAATAGCTCAGACACATAGAGAGGAAGGGTTGCTGTATATAACAGCAGAGAAACACTGACAATTTTGTAGCTGTCTCTTATGATTGATAGGACCCATGAATCTGTCATATGTGAGGTCCAGACAGGGTAAATGAATTGAAGTCTTTCTCCAACTTTTCCTGGCTGGACCTGCAGACCTCCATACATTTTTTGTTCAGGTTCTAGGACCTTTTCCTCTTGAGTTTTTTTGGGTTAGATATTTGAGAATAATTTCTCAAACTCGTGTTTCTAAATACTCTCTCTCTGGTTTATAGCTTCCACTCTCTTGAAAGGACCATTCACAAAATATTTTGTTCCTCCAAGATGAAGACGTAGGTCTCCTCTTACCTTGAGGCAAAAAGGCTTTTTTACCATTTACTGCATTTTGTATGGCCTCATCTAGGATTCTACCAAATAAGACATCTCTTGGGAAAAAAAGACCACAAAGAGAAGCTTTTGAAGCACAGTCTGCTCCCCAAGAGCCCTTCTAGAGGCTACTGACAATGCCATGCATTTGGCAATCATTCTCATAATATCGACAGGACACCTCCAAGCAAACTTAGCTGCAATTTAAAGTCTTTTAGACTTTTAATCAGATGTTCTCTGCATAACCCACTTTCAATATCAGCTTCCAGATTATCTAGCCAAACCTTCAGGGCTCTTGTGTCAGGTATTCATCCGCACATAAAAATGTGGTTAATGGCATTTACCGTCCTGACAGGAAAAGTTGTGCCGAGCAGCATTACCGTCCTGACAGGAAAAATCATGCACATGGAAACCTGGTAATTGCTTTTGGGGTCAAAAGCCGGTCATGGCCAATCATATCCACAGGAGGGTTTGTGATGAGCAGCAATCATGCACCTGGAAATGTGATAATTGCTTTTGGGGTCAAAGGCCGGTTACAGCCAATCGGATCCACAGGAGGGGTATTTAAACCTAATTTTCCTTTTGCTCATTGCCAGGTCATGGTTTCATCCCTGAATTCTGGTATCCTTGACTTTTGGTTTTCCCTCATAGTTGTGTCTGATTCTGTGTTCCTGACCTCAGCTAGTATTTTGACTATTCTTGCATACGTTAAGTCCGACCATTCTAAGGTCCGGTTACACGTTATACTTAGTCCTAGGTGTGACACAGTTCTGCGTGCTGGATCAACTTGGAATCCTGACATCTTGAAAGAGTAGTCAATGTCACTGAGGGATGTAGTACAGATCCAAGGTACAAGTAAGCTTTTATAAGATCTGCGTCCATTCTCTTCTCCATTGGTTCTCTCACATAAGCCATGGAATCAATCAGCAAGGTAGTTTTCTTAGCCATTCTTATGACTACAGCATCTATTTTTGTAATGAAATTCCAAGATTTACAATCGCCAAGTGAATAGGGATATACCCTAGAAATCTTGTGCTTAAGGGTGGATTTCTTTTCAGGCTTATTCCATTCTTGGTATAAACCAAAACAAAGAAGATTCGGGATATGGCTGTGTAAATCTACAGAGAAAGCATAAAACAAAACATAGTGTGATATTGTTATAAAACACAATATTTCATGCGCAGTAATCTTGTGCACTCACAGGATGTAGACAGTAAAAGCGCTCTTAAGGTGCCTTCCCCAATGAAATGGGGGGCTAGCTGGTATTCCTTATCACCTCTGGATCCTTGTTCCACCAAAAGACATCCACAGGTCAGGGTTCAATAATAAAAAATTTATTTAGATAAAAAGTGTAGTCACCATTTCAGCATAGGATATAAATAACAAAAGGTTGTCCTACGCGTTTCGTTCTATAAGAACTTCCTCTGGGACCACAATTAAAAACAATAATAACAATGTATCAATGTACAATACATGAACATATCCTATACAAATCCCCCCTCCCTGTGTCCTTAAATAGGGCTAATCCCTAAAGTCTATTGGTGGATCCAGTAGGTGTGTAAATCCTCCCTGATTCTAATTGGAGGACTAATCTTCCTGTGGCAGCTGTTTTTCATCCATTCATCTTCCATAATTTGTAATTCGCGCCTTTTTCGGCAAATACCGGAAGTAGTCATAATTTCCCGAAACCGGAAGTGACGTGGGAACGTCCGCGTTCCACATGCGTTCCACCAGTAACGTCTCCATGGCAACCGGACATGATCAAGTCATTCAAAGGTCAAATGGAACACAGGACAAATAAAAAGCCCCATTCTGCTAGAGAAAAAAACTGTTAAACATGTTTAACATATTCAACCATTATTTATATATATATCACCCTCCTCATTAATCCTATCACACAAAATAGTGTTAATCCTCATATTATACCCAGTGATCATAATACCTCAATATATTCTAAGCCAAAGGCTTCATATTATAAAGTGATCATGTTTCCTATGTCTGTTATTTGAGTTTTTTTATTTTTTTATTTAAACTTTATACATTGTTAATAAAAGTGGACACCGTAATCAATTCATCACTGTATCAGTTTAAACTCCAATTTGTCGTGTTATTATTTGTGCTCCCCATGGAAATCTTTGAGACAAGCCCATTAAACACATTAAGGTAATCCATTGCTATGGTTACAAAAAGGGATAGTGAATTGTAGCTTAGGAAATAAAGTGCATAAAATGACTGCTTCCCATATAAACTTTATTTAGTGAATCTACCACAATCAATTTATACCAGCTCTAAAAATCCTTAGAGCAAACCCATTATTTATATTAGAATAATCGGTTATTGTATTTTTATTATAATCTTTTGTGATTTTTGGTCATATAGAACAATAAATCACAAATTATAAAAAAAGGAGATAAAATAAAATATAAGGAATATGAAATAACTGCTTGGCATTTGACATATATATAAATCCTCTCTCTAAATGGGGATTAGCTTTCAACTGTAGAAACAACCCAAATTAAAGGCAAACACACATATCCTAACTATCTGTTCTGAAGCTTTTAGGCCATATTAATCCAAAAAACAAATTAAATCGATATCTATATTGAGACCCTTAGGTGAGAGGGTTTGTAATTTATGTATCCAGAACGTCTCCCATTGGGCTAGTCTTTGAACTCTATTGCCCCCACGCCAAAAGGGATGGACTCGTTCAATTCCCCAACATCTAAAATCCTTGAATGAAAAGAGGGGACATGATGTACAATGAGTTGGGACTGAGTGTGTCATCAGTCTCTTTCTGATATTATTAAGATGTTCTAATAGGCGAACCTTCAAAATCCTCTGAAGGTTCGCCTATTAGAACATCTTAATAATATCAGAAAGAGACTGATGACACACTCAGTCCCAACTCATTGTACATCATGTCCCCTCTTTTCATTCAAGGATTTTAGATGTTGGGGAATTGAACGAGTCCATCCCTTTTGGCGTGGGGGCAATAGAGTTCAAAGACTAGCCCAAAGGGAGACGTTCTGGATACATAAATTACAAACCCTCTCACCTAAGGGTCTCAATATAGATATCGATTTAATTTGTTTTTTGGATTAATATGGCCTAAAAGCTTCAGAACAGATAGTTAGGATATGTGTGTTTGCCTTTAATTTGGGTTGTTTCTACAGTTGAAAGCTAATCCCCATTTAGAGAGAGGATTTATATATATATCAAATGCCAAGCAGTTATTTCATATTCCTTATATTTTATTTTATCTCCTTTTTTTATAATCTGTGATTTATTGTTCTATATGACCAAAAATCACAAAAGATTATAATAAAAATACAATAACCGATTATTCTAATATAAATAATGGGTTTGCTCTAAGGATTTTTAGAGCTGGTATAAATTGATTGTGGTAGATTCACTAAATAAAGTTTATATGGGAAGCAGTCATTTTATGCACTTTATTTCCTAAGCTACAATTCACTATCCCTTTTTGTAACCATAGCAATGGATTACCTTAATGTGTTTAATGGGCTTGTCTCAAAGATTTCCATGGGGAGCACAAATAATAACACGACAAATTGGAGTTTAAACTGATACAGTGATGAATTGATTACGGTGTCCACTTTTATTAACAATGTATAAAGTTTAAATAAATAAAAAAAAATAAAAAAACTCAAATAACAGACATAGGAAACATGATCACTTTATAATATGAAGCCTTTGGCTTAGAATATATTGAGGTATTATGATCACTAGGTATAATATGAGGATTAACACTATTTTGTGTGATAGGATTAATGAGGAGGGTGATATATATATAAATAATGGTTGAATATGTTAAACATGTTTAACAGTTTTTTTCTCTAGCAGAATGGGGCTTTTTATTTGTCCTGTGTTCCATTTGACCTTTGAATGACTTGATCATGTCCGGTTGCCATGGAGACGTTACTGGTGGAACGCATGTGGAACGCGGACGTTCCCGCGACGTCACTTCCGGTTTCGGGAAATTATGACTACTTCCGGTATTTGCCGAAAAAGGCGCGAATGACAAATTATGGAAGATGAATGGATGAAAAACAGCTGCCACAGGAAGATTAGTCCTCCAATTAGAATCAGGGAGGATTTACACACCTACTGGATCCACCAATAGACTTTAGGGATTAGCCCTATTTAAGGACACAGGGAGGGGGGATTTGTATAGGATATGTTCATGTATTGTACATTGATACATTGTTATTATTGTTTTTAATTGTGGTCCCAGAGGAAGTTCTTATAGAACGAAACGCGTAGGACAACCTTTTGTTATTTATATCCTATGCTGAAATGGTGACTACACTTTTTATCTAAATAAATTTTTTATTATTGAACCCTGACCTGTGGATGTCTTTTGGTGGAACAAGGATCCAGAGGTGATAAGGAATACCAGCTAGCCCCCCATTTCATTGCGGAAGGCACCTTAAGAGCGCTTTTACTGTCTACATCCTGTGAGTGCACAAGATTACTGCGCATGAAATATTGTGTTTTATAACAATATCACACTATGTTTTGTTTTATGCTTTCTCTGTAGATTTACACAGCCATATCCCGAATCTTCTTTGTTTTGGTTTATACTATGTATGATATAGGTCGCTTGTTTGGGTAACGACCTAGGGAGGCTGCCATACATCTTTATAAGCTAAGTATTATTGCTTTTTATATTATTTATTGTTTGTATATTTTGGGATATACTTATAAGCTATTATTCCATTCTTGAACTATAATGTATTTTATAGCTGAATGTACTGGGAATGTTGGTCTAGTAGACTTTAGATCTTCGAAATATTGTTCTGCTTCTTGAGTATCTAATCTCTCTTCTGGTAATCTTAGGGTGTTTCTTATCAGCATAATTAGTTTATCAAAAAATCTAGAATCTAAGGATCAAGAAGCATGACCTTCCTCGTCATCTTCCTCAGAAACTTCTAGTATCTCTGAATCCTCTTTGGATTCTGAAGAATGGGGCTCAAATCTTGGGCGTTTAGAAGATTGCATGGGAGATCCATAATGTTAGGTCTTGTTGGGGAGAACTTGTTTTGTTCACATCCTCTGTTACTTCCAACTGACATGCTCTACAAATGTTTTTCCCATCTGGAGCAATAGGTTAAAGTTAACACATCTGTTAGATTTCTCTCTGAACTTTCTTGGTGGAGAATCACGAGTTTTGCTGGAGCTGAAATAAAGGATATATATACACATATATTATTGACCCCCCTTTATATAAAAAATATTTTGACTCACCTGTGTTATCTAGATTCAGATATTCTGGAGGCAGAGGGAGAACCCATGCTACAAGGAAATTTTTTATATCAATTTACATCTTAAATATTTCAAACTACATTTATTTTTAAAGGAAGCCCTTTAAAATACCTGGAATAAATCCAAAGATTGCTCAGGACAGCAACTTGTAGACACAAAAAACCAAGAGAAGACTTCCCACAATAATAAATATATTCAAGGCTGCTCAAATTTGAAAAAACATTTGCGTACTATCCCTTTAAGGATCCAGATTTGCGCATGCGCACTCCCATGGAACGCACTCCATGTGTTCCAACTAACGATCATGATATTTCAGCGCAACCTGAAATTGTAAACAGAAGATTGGCGAAGCCTATAAACCTACAGAGAGAGCCTCTGAGCTCATTTTTAGCTCCCCAAAGAAGTAACCCTCTCTCAGCCTATCTGGAAAAGTGAAAACCTGCTCCAGCAAACCTCTCTAAAGAAGCAAGAAGAGAAGTTAAATAATACCTTTCTAAATGTCATCAACACCAACATAAATAGGGGCATAAATTCTCGGGATGAAAATATAATTTTGCCTCTTTATAAATCGCTGGTAAGACCACACCTTGAATATGCTGTGCAATTTTGGGCGCCTGTTCTAAAGAAGGATATCATGGCACTGGAGAGGGTCCAGAGACGAGCTACAAAATTGATAAAAGGAATGGAGCATTTTAGTTATGAAGAAAGGTTACAAAAATTAAATCTGTTTCGTTTGGAAAAACGGCGCCTGAGAGGGGATATGATAACTATATACAAATATATTCGGGGCCAGTACAAACCTTTATCTGGAAATCTATTCATAAACAGGGTTATACATAGGACACGAGGTCACACATTTAGGCTGGAAGAAAGGAGATTTCATCTAAGGCAAAGAAAAGGTTTTTACAGTAAGAACAATAAGGATATGGAATTCTCTGCCTGAAGAGGTGGTTTTGTCAGAGTCCATACAGATGTTTAAACTGAAATTGGATAAATATTTACAAAAACATAACATACAGGGATATAATTTCTAATTAGTGGGGTAATAGCTGATTGATCCAAGGAGACATCTGACTGCTATTTTGGGGTCAAGAAGGAATTTTTTCCTAGTTTGTGGCAAAATTGGAAGTGCTTCAGACCAGGTTTTTTGCCTTCTTTTGGACCAACAGCAACAACATTTCTGAGGAAGGCTGAACTTGATGGACGCAAGTCTCTTTTCAGCTATGTAACTATGTAACTATGTAACTATGTAACAAAAAAAAGAGAAAAACTACCACATTCTACTGAAAGACAAACCAAATTCCAGCAAGATTTATATAAAATAATAAATAATGATTATGAAAGGTATGGCTTCTCCCAAACAAATACATCCTCCATTTCTCATAGAACGTTATATAGAGGGGGACTGAAAAAAGGGGAAATGTTTAAGGCTAATCACAGTAAAATGGATTGCAATATTGACTGTTTACATTTTTTGTTCATTATCCCTCATTGCAGATCAGTAGTGATGTACCGAACGGTTCGCCAGCGAACGGTTCCTGGCGAACATAGCATGTTCGCGTTCGCCACGGCGGGCAAACATATGCGCGGTTCGACCCACCCCCTATTCGTCATCATTGAGTAAACTTTGACCCTGTACCTCACAGTCAGCAGACACATTCCAGCCAATTAGCAGCACGCCCTCCCTAGCAGACCCTCCCACCTCCTGGAAGGCATCCATTTTAGATTCATTCTCAAGCTGCATGCTTAGTAAGAGGAGGGAAAGTGTAGCTGCTGTTCATAAGATAGGGAAAAGCATAGCTAGGTTAGGGATAAGGGTATGCTTTTTAAAAAAAAAAAATTTTTCTATGTAATGTAAATGCACTTAGTTGTCTGCCACTGCTGCCAGCTTCTGTGTCAGGCTCACAGTGCATACTGTGCCCATTTCCCCAGTCAGTGCCACCACTAACATCTGGTGTCACAATAGCTTGGATTTAAAACAAAAACTTTTTTCACTGTTATAGATTGAATAGCAGTCAGTTGTCTGCCACTGCTGCCAGCTTCTGTGTCAGGCTCACAGTGCATACTGGCTGCCCGTACCACCACTTAGATCTGGTGACACAAGCTTGGATTTAAAAAACAAAACACTTTTTCACTGTACTTAGATTGAATAGCAGTCAGTTGTCTGCCACTGCACCAGCTTCTGTATCAGGCTCACAGTGCATACTGTACCCATTTCCCCAGTCAGTGCCACCACTTAGATCTGGTGACACAAAGCGTAGTTTAAAAAACAAAAAACTTTTTTTACTGTTATAGATTGAATAGCAGTCAGTGTCCTTAAAGCGGGTGTGTTACGCTAACAGTGGATACGCTGACCAGTGCCACCAATTAGATCTGGTGACACAAAGCTTTGGATTAAAAAAACAAAACACTTTTTTCACTGTTATAGATTGAAGCCTCCCTAGCAGACCCTCCACCTACTGGACAGCATCCATTTTAGATTCATTCTCAAGCTGCATGCTTAGTAAGAGGAGGGAAAGTGTAGCTGCTGTTCATAAGATAGGGAAAAGCATAGCTAGGTTAGGGATAAGGGTATGTTTTTTTTTTATTTTATTTTTCT